ACCTTCCAAACATTATGCTAAGTGAAAGAAGCCAGGTACAAAAGATCACATATTACATGATTCCATTAATATGAAATGTTCAGAATAGGCAAATCCATAGAGACAGAAAGTTGATTAGTGATTTTCAGGGGCTGGGAGGAAATATAGACTAAGGAGTCATTGCTAGGGGGTGTGAACTTTCTTTTTGGGGGGATGACAACGTTCTAAATTTAAATAGTGGTAATGGTTGCACAGCTCTGGGGATATATTTGAAACCAGTGAATTTTATGGTGTGTGAATTATATTTCAAAAAAGCTGCTTTAAAAATAGAATTAATCAAGCACATAAAGGAACTACATATCTGGGGAGTGGCAGAAAGGAAAAACGTTAGTCTTCCGGATCTACCGCACTCTGCCAGGGAATGCCAGCACTACCACACGAACCTCCTGGGAGGACAGGTGATGTGGGCCCAGCACAAAGGACAAAGTAGGATGGGTGAGGAGTGAACTCCGTCCCCACCCCCCACCTCCGCTCTCCCCTTATGAAGTGGGATATTTATGATAACAAGTAGAACGTAAGAGGAGGAGTAGGAAGATTATAAGCTCTAGAGTTGAAAACCTGTGTTTAAAAGCTGGGGTGTAAACCCAGTTCCCCACATTCTAACTTGTGACCTTGGACCAATTACTTAACATCCCTCAGCTTCCTCATCTATAAGATGAGTTTAATAATCGCACCTCCTGTCCCACGGTTGCTGTAAGGATATCCTAATGCATACGAAGCCCTTACAAGAGTGTCATCTGATACAAACTGCTATTGTCGTCATCACCACCATCACTGGTATTGTTCTTTTGGTTCAACAGGCCGACTCTACTCTCAACAGTCAGACAAGGGGATGCAGCACAATCACACATGCGCACATGAGCCCTCCCAGGGAAAGTCCAATCAAACTCACCTGGGAGCATGGGCTTGCCCCTCCCCCACCTACCGATGACAATTACTCTCATAAAGGCGACTAAGGAAGGCAGCACTGGCTGATAACAGCGGCAACCACTGAAGGGCTAGAGTCAGGCACATTTTCGGGTGTGCTACATACGTTACTTCACTGAAAGTTCACAACCAACCACGTCACTTTACAGATAAAGGAAAGTGCAAATACACTGAGTAACCACCAAGTTAATAACACAGTTAAAGAAGTCAGAGCTGAAAGTCCAACCCGCATCAGTGCAGCCCATGTCACTTTCCAGTACCTTAGGCTGAATTGGATTTCCAATGGAAGAGTGATTAGGAGAGGAATGAAGAATGAGGGAAGAGTACTTTTGGACTAACACAATTATTTCACACACTCAAGTAACAGGATGCCAGACAATATGCAATGCCATTCGCTCCTTCACACATACATTAAGCACCCATTATGTGCCAGTGTCAATGATAAAAACAATCTTGGAACGATATGGACTTTAAAAGAGAAAATTACAAAAAATAAAAATAATAATAAGAGAAAACTATAGAAGAACATGGTCAGCACATTAGTAAACAAACAGAGGAATGTGCTGGACAACGAGGAGATCAGGGAAGTGTCAACTGCATTCTCAATTGCAGAGACAGTCCCACCCACTGCCTTCAACTTCCTTAAACAAGAATTCAAAGGAGAACACCTGACGCTCATTTTCAATGCCTTTTTCTCCTCTGGAACCCTGTTGAATGGAATTTGAAACCATACTTCTGAATCTTCTCTATGATTTTTTTTTTAAGATTTTATTTATTTATTTGAGAGAGAGAGAATGAGAGATAGAGAGCACAAGAGGGAAGAGGGTCAGAGGGAGAAGCAGACTCCCTGCTGAGCAGGGAGCCCGATGTGGGACTCGATCCCGGGACTCCAGGATCATGACCTGAGCCGAAGGCAGTCGCTTAACCAACTGAGCCACCCAGGCGCCCCTCTATGATTTGTTTCTATTCAGAAAACTGCGAGCCCACAATCTTTCCCCCTGTACCTCATGGGACAGGCATGTACCCAACTGCAGGACTGACTAAGGGAGGGTGCGGAATAGAGGGTCCATGGCAGAAGGGTCCATCCCAAGAATGGGTTGCAAGAGGGCAGAGGCTGTTTGTTGCAAAGTGCGCCACAAGCCCTAAGACATTTATATCCATTCCAGGATTGATACATTCTGACAGACTGAGTGGTATGGGGAAGCAATTCATTTCACATTTTATAAAGCACATTTCGCAGGGTAGAGAGCGTCAGCTGCATAAACACATCTTAATTTAGTCCTAAAATCCTAACAGGATTTCCATTGTGCTTACAACCGCAGGGGGAACACTTAAGGTTCTAATCCTGTCAAGGGGACCAAGCACTTTTCAACACTTTCCCTGTAGTAAAGGACAAGGCAATTACCATGAAAGAGAAGGAATAAGAAGATACATGAAATATTTCTTTGGAAGGATAAGCTAAATTCTCAGAGATTTAAAAGGATCAATGTTGAGATGGTAAATAAAAAATACACTAAATTCACTTTAGGAACTAAAGTTTCTCAAATATTTTAAGGTAATGTGTTAACACAATATGATCATATAAATAAGGTGGCAAATACATTCAACAGATAACACAGTATGTATCTTTTTTTTTTAAAGATTTTATTTATTTGAGAGAGAGAGAGCACATGAGAGGGGGGAGGGTCAGAGGGAGAAGCAGACTCCCTGCTGAGCAGGGAGCCCGATGCGGGACTCGATCTCAGGACTCCAGGATCATGATCTGAGCCAAAGGCAGACGCTTAACCAACTGAGCCACCCAGGCACCCTTTATTTGACAGAGAGAGACAGCAAGAGAGGAAACACAAGCGGGGGGAGTGGGAGAGGGAGAAGCAGGCTTCCTGATGAGCAGGGAACCCAACATGGGATTGGATCCCAGGACCCTGGGATCATGACCTGAGCCGAAGGCAGACACTTAACGACTGAGCCACCCAGGTGCCCAGCACAGTATGCATCTTATGAATCACAAGAAAATAAACTGTCAGTTAAAACTCTAAGTAAGATTTGATGGACTATTCAGATTGAATTTTTCCTATAAATGCAGTAATTTTATAATGAAAGTTAAGCGAGAATTCAGAGAAAAAAAACCTGAGGCTCATTTTCAATGACAAAATATTCCTGAATTTGGGGGTGCCTGGATGGCTCAGTTGGTTCAGCTTCCGACTCTGGGTCTCTCAGCTCAGGTCATGATCTCGGGGTTGTGGGATCAAGCCCCTTGTGGAGCTTCACTGCTCAGCGTGGAGTCTGCTTGGGATTCTTTCCTCTTCCTCTCCCTTCCTGTCTCGCACTCTCTCTCTCTCTCTCAAATAAATAAGTAAAATCTTTAAGAAAATATCCCTGAATTTATAAAGTAATTATGATGTTCAGAAGTCATTTCCAGAGTAAGTGCTGTAAGAGTAAGCAATAGTGGGGTTCAGAATATCTTTTGAAAACTTGGTATCTGGGCTATACCCTTGGACCAAATCTGGCCAACCCCCTGTTTTTGTACAGAGTTAAGAGTGGTTTTCATAATATCAAAATACTAAAAACAAATAAAAGAATATTACATGACATATGAGTATCATATAAAATCAAGTTCTGGTGTCCATAAATAAATTTTTATTGGAAGAAAGCCAAGCCTATTTGTTTATATAATGTGTATGGCTGCTTTCGTGCTCCAAGAGTGGAGCTGAGTAGTTAGTTGGGCAGAGACCTTACGGCCTGCACGGTTAAAGCTATCTACTCTCTGTTCTTCACAGAAAAAGTTTGCTGGCTCCTGATCTAGATTCACGATGTTTGTTTATATAGAATAACTCCAGATAGATTCTAGTTAAACTTGTGGAAAAGCAACCATATACTTTATATGTATTTGCAACATAGAGGAAGGGACACAACTTGTATTATAAAATTATGTGCTATGAAAAAATTATTTTGAAATGTTGCGGGATTATTTTGTAGGGTAATGGGCTTTCTTTTCTAGATAGTCATAGGAAGTAAGAAAAATAAAAGTGCTTGAAAACAAAAAAAAGAGTAAGCAATAGTTACAAATAGGTAAGAATTTAAGCAATATGCTTAAAATTCAATATAAAATAAAACATTAAAAACAAGATATGTGAGAGAAAATACCCATGTTGTATTTGTCCTGAATAGTGCTCAGCATAATTGTTTTCATCTGTCAGAAGAATAAAAGATATTGCTAATTCTTGATAATCTATGTTAAAATGCTCATCTAAATTTTACTAAAATATCTGTACTAATTATTCTTCATTAGGTGAAATAGAAATTGTTTTCAAATTTGACATATAGCAAATAAGATTTATTTTAAATCATACAAACTATATATCAAACTTAAATGCCTCTTTCTTGATAGTGCCTATTAAAAGTACTTGACTTGAATCTTTTTATCAGTATGAAATAAACTGTGTTTGGGTGGAAAATAATTTTGAACTGTCATATGCTGTAGATCGAATACCACAATGTTTAGCTCTCTATTAAAAAAATTAAAAGCTTCCATTTTAAGATGTGTGCATTAAAAAAAAATAGATTTCACAATAAGGACAGTATAGAAATCCGTTCATCAAATATTTACTTCAAAATCTAAATTTTTGTTTTAGCTACAGTGACTAACAACCTTTTGTTCATTTTCTTTGATCTAACAAAGAATGGTAGAAAACCAAGACTTACTTGTTCTTGTTAAGGTGTTTAATGACTATTTCAAAAAAAAAAAAAGCTGATAATAGCAATAAAAGGAAGCTTAAAAAAAAAGAAAAAATGTATAAACTCTAAACAGCGAACCCAAACAGGAACATGTTAGAATCCCTCTTGAAATCAGTTGTGTCTAATCTACAGACTCCCCATGTCAGGTGCGCCTCAGCCGGCCATCTCTGTACCCAGGACCTGGGACTAGGAATGGTGTCCAAGGAAGTTTGCTCCTTCCCACTGTGCCAAGAAATCAGAGCTTCGTGGGAGGGGCGGGGACGCGCCAAGACAGCAGTGCACTCCCCGGAAGCGCGTACCTTTACCCTCTGGTCATCCACATCGATGACCGTAGCCACGCGAATGAGCCTGGGGTTCCGTCTATCCACCGCTTCAAGTCTCATGCTCGGCAGAAAACCATGGGGCGTCCGCTGAAAGGTCACAAGAGCACAAGTCAAAACCCAACAGCAAAACCCAACTGAGCAGACAAGACACGCCATGTTTTCTAAAGTGCAATTGTTCTGACTTTGCATTCAGACCCTGCAATTGGAATTCAGGTTGAAGGGCCCTAAGGCTTATGCATATTATTTTATCCAGTTTTATTAAAACCTGTGAGAGGAGAAAGAATTTTTTGGTCATTTTCAAGATAGCTAAAAAGAGATTAAATCATAAATTTGTTAATGATCACAAGATTCAGAAAAGGTTCTAATTTATTAACAGTTTATTTATTTGTTTAGATTTTTTCTGAAATTAACTCTATAAATTAAGAAACTGTTGACTATTCTCACTGCCCAGTTTTGGAATTTATGACCCAGAAGACAAAATTATTTACTAAATAATAAGAAAGGATAAACATAATCCTTTATAAATCTAAATTTTAAAATAGATAAAAGCTGCATGACTATTACAGGTAACTGTTCTAAAATCATACCACAATGTAATTTAAAAGTCATAACCTGTGCTTTTGTAACATAAGCATGTTAAAAACTGTATTAATTAAGCTTTCTTCCAACTCTTAAAATGCTAGGAACCAGGAGTCTATAATGATGGACCTTCAGAAAACACTAAAAAATACTGAATGGGAAAAAATACACTGGGACTTACCAAATCACTGGCACCAAAGAAATTTAAAAACCAAAAATCAAAGTTAAAAGGCAACTCCAACAGTGTTCACAGGTTGGCAAAAAGTTTCACTTTGAAAGCTATTACACATAAAAGTATTCAATTGACCTTATTGAAAATGAAAGTGTATTGAATTCCTCAAGTCTAGAAATGGCAATAGGAAAATAAAACCTTCATGATATGTGAGTAATAAACAGTTACCTCGTTTGTTTCTCTCCAGCTTTTGTGGAAGCATATTTTCTCCAAAATGCATTACTACATCTACTAAATGGAATACACAGACTATAATTAGGTCTTTGATGCTTGAAATTCTTTCTGCTCTCCCCAAGGTCACTGTCTTGATAACAAAGGTAACAGTTTCATATTGCAGATGCCAAAGATACATAGTTTGAGGTGAATCCATAATAACCCCATGTCAGAGCCTGGACGTTGCATTTTTAACTAAATCAGAGTTTTATTTTCTTGTAATTTTCTTCTTGGAAAAGTAAAATGAGCTTTGACAGAAAGCAAAAGAGAAAAAGATAATACAAGAAGCTGGTATTCTGCTTATTGAGTTTCTGCAATTCTTAAAGTCCTTTCAAGCACTCTAGGACTTCTAGCCTTCTTAATTTGATTACACTTATTTTCCAAATCCAGCCTACTCTATAATCAATTTTTTTAAAAAAATGAAATAGCATTTTGTTTCAAATCCCTTGTGATCCCTAGAAAACTTTTTATAAATGAGATCATATGTGGAAGCTCATTATATAAAATTCTGATTAAAGATGAGTCAGGAAGCCCAGAGCACACAATTTGAAAACCGCTTTAGACATAAATATCTCTAATTATACTATCAATGCAGTCTTTTACCAAATAATTCATGCTTGGTGCAACCCTGAAATAAATGTATAAGGACAAATGTGAACTTAAAAGTCGGTGTTCTAACAAATGCTAAAAGCAATGTTTCCCTCAAAATGGATAAAAGCGGAGCACACACAGGCTACATACAATTCGCCTATCTTATTATGGCGTCATGGACATTCAAACAGTCCCAAGACTGTGAAAGTGCAGAGTTCCCACTTGATGGACAAATACAAGCAGAAATGAAGGACTCCACCATCATCTGAGGTTGATGAAGTGCCTTCAACTGCACGAGGGTGGTCTACTGGGCTTTTCAAGTAGGGAAACCATCATTACTTTTATGTAGAGGAACAATAGTAAGTGAATCACCTCCTTTGTGGCTTTAACTGAAAACAAGGCAGATTGGTTATGAAAATAACATTTGACTTTAAGAAGAAAAATCTAGAATAATTTAAACTGTCAAATGAAGTCAACATGTACATTGCTTAAAGGTGAGAGTGTATTCAGATACAAACGTACCATTTTAAAAACTTTGGCAGGAACAGCATTAGTTTGAGTGGCTTCCAGATATTCTGTCCAGGAAAAATTTTCTGGATTAGGATAACCTGAAAATATATATATATACATATCAAAAGATTATTCATTGACATTTTGATTCCCAGGGACTCTAAGACATCTGACCTACTGTTAACTGAATGCTATTTAATAGCCCCTATGCTAAGAACCTCAATACATTACCTAACTTGTCTATTTTAACCTCTGAGAGGGCTCTTTCATTCCCACTAAGGCAAGAGAGCACTCATTCATTGGATCATATTCATTCACTCAACAAGGCCAAGGTCAAATGGTGTTGTGCATACTTGGCAGAGCCAGGTTACACCCAGAAGGCCTCCTCAGAAGTTTGAAAAAAACTGAAAATCATTGTCTGACCTCAGACAATGAACTGGTAATCTTTCTAATTCCTCCAATACTGTTGCCTCTATTAGGGTTTTATTCTCTTAATTACATCTCTGTAATTACAATTTCCCAGGTTTGCCATTTATACTTGCAATTTAAAAATTCATATTGGTATAACATGGCATAAAGCACTCTATGTTTAAAAAAAATTCTAATTGGGTTTCTTGTTTCTCTTTATATTTATGTTATCTTATTCCTAATTATATTACATTACCTATTATTGTGCTGTTTTCTTTTTTACTTTAAAGGAATAAGTACTTAGATTTATTCATCAGCTCTACTGTATTCATTTCTCTTTTCTAATTATTTCATCTGCTGCTTTTACTCTTATTACTTTACTCATATTTCCCCTAGGTTTGTTTTTGTCAAACTGAATTATAAAGAAAATTAATTTATTTTCATTTTTTAAATAATAGAAGCATTCAATATTATGAACTTACAGCCAAACTATGGAAAGAGCCTAGATGTCCATCAACAGAGGTATGGAGAAAGAAGATGTGGTATATACATACAATGAAATATTACACAGCCATCAAAAAAATGAAACCTTGCCATTTGCAACAATGTGGCTGGAACTAGAGGGTATTATGCTAAGCAAAATAAGTCAATCAGAGAAAGAGAAATATCATATGATCTCACTGATATGAAGAATTTGAGAAACAAGACAGAGGATCATAGGGGAAGGGAGGGAAAAATGAAACAAGACGAAACCAGAGAGGGAGACAAACCATAAGAGACTCTTAATCTCAGGAAACAAACTGAGGGTTGCTGGAGTGGTGGGGGGGTGGGAAGGAAGGGGTGGCTGGTGATGGAATTGGGGAGGGTATGTACTACGGTGAGTGTTGTAAATTGTGTAAGACTGATGAGTCACAGACCTGTAACCCTGAAACAAATAATACATTATATGTTAATACAAATAATTTTTAAAAAAGACTATGAACTTAACCATTGTTGCCCCTGAATACAGCTTTAGACACCTGGACAAACTTTTAGGACATATTTATTTTTCTCACCTTTATTTTCTCAAAAACAATTATTATTACAATCTATAATTGTCACCTTCATTTAGTCACTGGCCAAATATTTATTTAAGAGATATCTCAAATGGCTAATATTTGTAGTTGTTTAAAATAATAATAATATCTGGGGCAGAGCAAGATGGCGAAGGAGTAGGAAACCTGGATTTCATCTAGTCTCAGGAATTCAGCTGAAGAGGGATCAAACCATTCTGAACACCTACGAACTCAACAGGAGACTGAAGAAGAGAGTAGCAACAACTCTATGAACAGAGAAGCGACCACTTACTGGAAGGTAGGACGTGCGGAGAAATGAATCCGAGGCGATATTCAGGAGGAGAGACAGCGGGGGAGGGGGCCTCCGACGGCCACTTCTGGCAAGTGATAGAGCCGCGGAGCATAAAATCAGAAGTTTTAGAAGCCGGCTCCGCTGAGGGGTAGCTCCAGTGGCTAAGCGGGGGGTGGAACCCTCGCGGGACAGTGTGGTCTCAGGACCCTCCGGGTCACAGAAAGACCAGGGGTGCCTGAGTGCGGCCGAGCTCCCAGGTATCGGAGCGGGGAAGCTGGCTGCAGAGACAGAGCCCAGGCGCGGGCTCTCAGCTCGGAGTGGCCATAAACTGTGATCCGCGGCCCAGTCGGGCCACTGCTCCTCCAGCAGGGACCCAACAAGCGGCAGGGACCCAACAAGCGGCAGGTTCCGGGAGACTCCCCTTCCTCCCCGGGGAGGAGCGGAGCGGGAGCGCACAGCAGGGATCTGCTGGGTTTGGAGACTCCACACGGGGTCGGGTGCCAGAGATAGAAACACTCAGTCACAGGCCGGGTGAGCACGGAGTGCGGCCGGAGACCAGGGAGACGGGAGTGACTGCTTTTCTCTGGAGGCACACTGAGGAGTGGGGACCCGAATTCTCAGCTCCTCCGGGTGGAGATTGGGAGGCCACCATTTTCACCCTGGTCCCCCAAAGCTGTACCCAAAGCTTGCAGGGAACAAAAGCTCCTGAGAGCAAAACCAAGCAGCTTGCTTAGCCTGGACGGACAAGAGTGGGGCAATTCTGTCTCCGGCAAATACATTTGGGAACCACGGCAACAGGCCCCTCCCCCAGAAGATCAGCAGGAACAGCCAGCAAGCCAAGGCCAAGTTTACCGATCAAGGAGAATGGGAGAACTCCATCGCTAGGAGAATACAACACATAGAATTCATGGCTTTTTTTCCATGATTCATTAGTTTTTCAA